TCGAGTCCATTTCTCCAAAGTTATTAGGGAACTATGTACTTCCCAAAGAAGTTCTAAATGTTTTTACATTTAAGTAAGAAAGGAGCGATGTTCTCCAAAGAGCCTTCGGGCTAGTTTTTGAGTAATTATCTCATATCAGCAGGAATAAATATGTTTTAAAAACATAAGAGCCAGTACATTTTTGGGAGTAGTATCGAGCACCGAGTTGGGGGAGCGTTCAAAGAACCCACAGCCCCCATAGAACCATGTTAGCCACCATGGGTAGAAAAGGATCATACTTTTTAGATGAATCCTTTTCAGATTAGACTAGTGGATCCATTAGGCAGTTCAGGTCTTATACTTTTGGCCGGGTATAAGATGCTCTGGCAGCGTGAGGTCGATCGCTGTATCATCACTATAGCTCTTATGTGATGGTTGTCGGTTAGAGAAACTCCCACAGCAGTTATTGTATTTTCATACTCAGAGATTATTGTATTTTTATATACATCAGTTCATTGTATTTCTATATACATTTCAGGCTTATTGTATCTTTGTATACACACAGAGTTTATAACATGTTTTAAACAGTCTTTCTTTATATCGCACTTGTTTTAAATTGCCTTATATAGAAATAATGTCAGTCAGGTTGAGTTGAGTTGAGCCAGGTAAGCTATTCAGTTTCTCCCAGGTTTCCTTCTAGCCGTTGTTGCTTAGCTTTCCAGCTTGCATACTCGTACATTCCATGTACTGATGCCAGTTGGCCTGCATCGTTTCATGATGCAGATCCAGGTATCCCAGATCAGCAGCCTGTGCGTCGTTGATCCAGCTGAGCACTCCAGAGTCAGTGGTGAGCCTCCTTGCTTTCCGGAGGACTCTATTACTTTGTGTTCTTAGTGTTGTCTTATTAGGATGTTGCGGGGTCTGTCCCAACATCCATCTCAGTAATTTAGAGGCTTCATAGATAGACAGATAGACAGTCAGTCAGCTAGTTTTGAGTCTCTTATCTATGTATATATGTAAATATTCTATTTTGAGATTCGAGTTGCCTTATGGCCATATTTTATAAGTTAAGTTGTGTTGTAATATTGCATCGCTTGAGTTAGGTTTCCGCTGAGTTAAGAAAGCCAGGCCAAGGGTTCGCTTGGGGCCAGAAATGGTTTCCGGGTGCCGGTCCCGCCCAGGGTGTAGGCTCGGGGCGTGACATCTTTATTGGGATTGCTAAGTACAAAACGCGCTGCTCAATCAGCACCTTTCCTTATTGCCCTTCCAGTACTGACTTTATCTTTTCACTATTTCTGTAAAGGGCGCTACGAGCCAGCTTTCACCAGATATCCATTGCAGGTGAGTACAACAAGTTCACACTTAAATGCTTCCTTATTACTACAAATATAAATGTGTTGCACATAGAAGTGGAGGTTCCTGGAAAAAAAAACCACATATAGTACTGAGCTCCGATATACGTGTATTTATTTTCTCTGGATGAAGATTTAACTGTGTTGATCTCAAATGTATTTCATTAGCAAGAGAGCTGTTATAGTTGCATGGAATCATAAGGTTAAATCTCAATTTTTTTATTTTTCTCTAAAAGGGATTTATACTTTGGTCTTCTTGGATTTCAGGAAGCAAAGAGGAAAGATACTATAGAACAAGCCAAAGAATCCAAACTTAACTTGAAATACTACCTTCAAAATGCTTATTTGCATCCTGTTTTTAGAGGTGATGATGAAGATGACAATGAGGAGGACTTGAACGATAAGTTGGAGAGTAACGATGTTGTGTTGATCCCAATGAAGCGCCAGTCAAGAAGAAATACTCCAGCGCCAAGCAGGATAAGTGGCGCCAGTCAAGAGGAAATGCTCCAGCACCAAGAAGAATGAGTGCCAACTCTTCTACATCATTTCTCAATGTTACTGACTGACCATACACATTAAGTGCTTTGTTTCTTCTGGATGTGAGATTCTAACTCTTTGTACATAAGAGAGCTAAATGTAAATTGACATGATGCCAATGTAGCTAATAAGTTTGGACATGCCCCTTCTTACTCGAATGAGCAAGAGCTGCTGGCTGCAGCCTGTGGCCAACTGTTGGAATCTGCTTTGCTAGTGGAGCAACAGGGCCTGTTCAATAGAATCTGTCATTTTCCCTCTATTATGTGATTTCCTTGTATTTGCCTAAAACCCGATAAAATAGAGTTGTCTCAGACCAAATGTTCATGTACAGATCCAATAATGCGTTCAGATTGCCATTGAAGGTAATCCAATATTGCCAAAATATAAAGAATTTAATATGCATTTTAAAATTCTGAATTCGTCCGATAAATGGATGGGTTTTGTTTGTACTGAGCTTTTTTATAATTAAGTAACCTTACTTTCTTTTCTATTATGATGATAAATTAATTTCACATATGATCCTAAACATTGTTTGTTGTATTAGTAAAATTACAAACTATTAATTTATTTCATACTAAAGCCATTAGACTATTCTTACGCCTAATATTTCTAACTCTAGAACTACCTCCGAGGAAAGATTTAATTAAGTCTATATAATGATATTATTTTTGTCCTGATTTCTTATCATATTGAATGAGAAAATACATAAAAACCCCCCTAAACTTGGCATCACAACTTACTTTAGCACTTAAACTATACGAGTGTTTAAATACCACTCTTAACATCTTTCAAGTGATTAAAGCACCCCCTAAGGGATGATGTGGCAGAGAGAGTGAGTGCACTCTCCTGAAAGTGCGTGAAAAAAGAGAAAAAAAAAGCTGAATTTTTAAAGCCCTACACATGACCTTTTTTTATTGGCCAATATATAACAAATTATTTAAATAGGTTTTTTTATATATTAAATCTTTAAAATATGTAAATTTTCTTATTAAGAGGTAAATGAAATTAGTGGATTCCCTTTTTAATTTCTTTAATTTTTATTTTTTTTATTTTGTTGTCTTCCTCAGTACACATCTTTCTCCATTGAAACATCTCCTCCTCCATCTTCTTCTCCACCTCTATCCACTATTTTTATTTCATTAGTCTTTTACTAATCCGTAAAATTCAATACCAATGTCATTTTATTGACGTCGATTTCACTCTATTATTTGTATCAATTTGGCAAATGTTAACTTTCTTAAATTTTGAGTGACCCATTTTGATTTCTAGATCATTCAAACATTTCTCATAAAATTTATATTTTTTTTGGATCAACTTTCTTATGCAATTTTCATTTCTTATTTGAGTTATCTGAAAAAAATTGGCTTTCAAAAAAATCCATTCTCCAAGAGAGTAAATTAGTTGGGAGGGTTCAAAGAAGATAATGTGAATTTCTTTCTTTAAAGTGACTTAAAAAATTGTTGAATAGTGAAGAAGAAGAAGAAAAGAAAGAATTGAAGTTTGGAATAATGGTGAACAACAAGGAAGAAGAAAGAGAGGGGTGGGGGATGGGGGTATGCATTTATAAATTAATCAATTGATATAATTAATTTTAAAAAGTATTTAAGAAAAAATAGTGAATAAGTAAAAAGGAAATAAAAATTAATGACATGGTGCCTACATGGTTATGATGTGGTGCTTACGTGGCAATGATGTGGCGGGTGAGAGTGGTGTTATAGTCTCAGGGTGGAAAAAAAATCACTTCAAAAATATTAAGGGGGGTATTTAAATGCCCGTGTAGTTTAAGTACTAAAATAAGTTATCCGACCAAGTTCAGGTATTTTTTTTGGGATAATACATATATTTGACCTTAAACTTGGCTTCAAATTTTAACTTTGACCTCCAACTTTCATAGTGCACAAACAGACACTTTAACTATCCAACCTTTTAATAAATAAACACGCGTGTCTTACCTGGCAAAATGCGTGATGTGCACGTTTTTTGCGCGAGTTAGGAGTGATTTTTGAGGCCTACAACAGTAAAAAAAAATGCTGAAATGACAACTCTACCCTTAATTAATTAATTAATTTTTTTAGTTAAAAAATGCACGTGTAAAGTGTTTAATTAGTTGGCAGCCATTGAGTGGCTCACTAATACACGTGGCAGCGTTTGCATTTCACGCTCTTGGCTCCAAAAATCGCGTGTTTATTTATTAAAAGGTTGGATAGTTAAAGTGCTTGTTTGTGCACTATGAAAGTTGGAGGTCAAAGTTAAAATTTGAAGCCAAGTTTAAGGTCCAATATATGTATTATGCCTTTTTTTTTAAATGTATTTTCTCTATTTGAATTTACTTTTCTATTGAAATAAAAATTAGCTCATGAGAGGAGGTTTGTCCAAGTCCCGACTATCGACAACATCGGTGAACAACAAATTGGAATAAGTGTGACTCTTATACCATGCAAACATGGATCTTGAGCCTAATTCAACCCCAAAAGTTAGTCCATGAAGGGAGGTTTGTCCAAGTCTATACAAGGAGACAAAATTCTCATCTCTTTACCTGATGTGGGACTTCTTAACACAAAGTATTACCATAATTATTTTTACTTTTTTTTAAAGAAAAATATAAATCTTTTTCATATTTGTCTATTAATTCTTGGAGAAAAAAATTGCATCTTTATGAATTGAAGATCCTTCTTTTTTATACCATACCATAATAACCCAAGTTTGTTTAGGGAGAGATTTTCTTTCAATAGTTTTTATGATTTCTTTTCTAATAGTTTTTCATATATAGGTCAGCCATATAAAAATTACACATTTTTTTAATGTAGTTTTATACATCATCTAATTTATGATAATTTGGAATAATATTAATTTCTTGGTGATTATTTAAATCCAATAATTTGAACCTAATCCAATCCAAAAATAGTGTCAAAATTTTAGCATGGGGTAAGTGACACGTCATAGGAATGTATATAGTTTAGTTCTCCCTTGTTTTACGAAAGAAGTAACAAACGAAAATACTCTGTTTCTCTGAATGCATAATTTTGTTGTCTGTGTTATTGATTCACTCCCTTCAACCACCAATATCTCTGAATGTACATTCTAATTGACTCAATTATTAGAAAATGCATTGATTGAGACTTTATATAAGCCATGAAGAAGAAGGGGTTGGCTCCAGGAGGGATATCGTGGAAGCTACATGTAATTGTGGTGTCCCTTACTCTCACCATTGTTGTGTGTATGTTGCCTTTTCTTAGCCTCCACAGATTCTCACCATCACATTACTCCCAAATTCCTTCTTCTCGTAGATCTCTCCATTCTAATTGGGATTCTATTACCCTCCATGAAGGGCAACCCAATCCCAAAGTTGCTTTTCTCTTTCTAGCTCGTCTTCATTTGCCTCTCGATTTTGTTTGGAAATGTTTCTTCCAGGTCAGCTGATTTTTTTTGACAACTTTGTGAAAGTTGAAGAAATGAATGAATGAGGTAACTAACTTTTAGGATTGAATTAGGTCGAATGCCTATTATTGTGTTGACATGATGATTGATAGTGTCCATGTTTTTTGATTTATACATGTAATTGGATCCCTGTATTATAATGTTTGTGCTTCAGATATCGAGTTGAATGTTGGGGTCTATATTGGTTGGTGATGTTAACTAGTCCACATTTGTGAGAGAATAGATAATTGTTTCTTGATTTTGGACAATTCTCACCTTATGCTTCTATACCTCCACAAGGTAGTGGTAAGGTCTGTGTGCATGCATGCGTGTGCACACTTTACCCTCTCCCAACCCCATTTAGTGGGATTTCACTGTTGTTGCAAGTGTTGCATTATTCCAACTTCTATTTTAGTTATGAGGTTTAAGGATTGTATGTTTCTACATTAATTATCGCTTTATCTTGAATGTATTTTTCCTTTTTCTTCAATTCGTATATGTTCTTTTAATGGATTAGGGAAAGTTTCATACAAAAATTAGTAGATGCTTTCCAGCTTCTGAGTAGTTTTTATTTTCTTTTGCATCCATCAGAATATTTAATGGGAATGTGAAGAAAACCAGGTTTTAATGAAATTCAGTATTTCAGAAACTAATTATTAATATGATAGAACATTGGTAAACCAAATTACATGTTCTCTCTTACTCTTTAATTTGATGTTTTGCAGAATGCTGACACTGCTAATTATTCAATATATATACATTCAGAGCCTGGTTTTGTGTTTAATGAGTCTACAACAAGGTCACGTTTCTTTCATGATCGCCAATTGAAAAATAGCATCAAGGTAAATGTTCTTACTTGCTGTCATTTTTCATAAACACAGAAGATTTTATCCCTTTGTTATGTTCCTTATTAGTTTACTTCATGAAATGAAAACATATAGGAGCTTTTGTTTTTGTTTGTTTCTCCCTTTCTCTTGATATGTCTATTACTTTTGGTTCTCAATGATTATCAACAGCATTATCCAGATATACTTTGAGTTGGTCTATTTCTTTCTCCGACTAGTTTCTCCAACTGTAAGTTCTTTCTAGTATTCTTACAAATATGAGGAATATTTTGCTGATAACTCAGCTTTTTGTCATGCACTTTCTTCTCCATTTCAATTTCTTTCATCTTAGCCGGATTGATATAAAGTGTAACGTGTAGGTAGGTTGGGGAGAAGCAAGTATGATTGGAGCAGAGAGATTGTTACTTAAGGAAGCTCTTAAGGATTCAGCCAATACAAGATTCGTTCTCTTGTCAGAAAGGTCTACTTACACTTCAGATGCATAATTAACATCTCACGAATATGTATTTTTTGGCGACTTGGTCGTTTCACATGCATTTGCATCAGTGCTTGATCAATGATCATTTTAGTTGTTGATTACTAGCTGCCTTACGAAATAGGAATATAGCTTTTTAACCGAACTTAACAGGAGAAATAGTTCATTATCGAGTTGATTTCATAGATGGTCACTCCACTAATACTTGCTATTATATATCTCAGAAAGTCGCTTTTTTTGTTGAACAAAATTGGATCCAAGAAGAAATATGATTCTCTGAGATAATAACTTTTAGTTGAGTGTTCGTCTGAGAAATCAATCCTTCATTATCTTATAAATAAAACAAGACGAAAGAAGCTAATACCTCTTCTGATTATGTTGATAAAACGATCTACCAAACATTCATTCATTTCAACTGTACACTTTAGGTATATCTGAAAAATAAGTATTTTTGAACTTCTGATTGCTCATCTCTAACTAATAACCTATTCAAACTTCATTTTTTTGATTTCCACCTTGATTTAATGGGCGTCACTTAAATCCGAATGGGTTCAACAGCCATAAGGTCTTAGGTTCCCGTTCAATGGAATGACATCATATATTGCTTTTTGGACATGCTGGAAAATATGGAGTACGAAATGGTTAACCCTATCACGATTTTGCTGAATAGACGTGGACATGACATGACTATGATTCTTGACAAAGTAAGAATGAGAGAGAACTAGGGCATAACAATGAAAAAGCATAGGAGACCAGTAACTATTGAGTTCACAAATGAATTGGTCAAGATTGACATACGCTAGATTGGTAAAACAGGAAAAATATTTTAAATGGCAACTTGCAGAGTTTTTGTATGTATTCAATGTTCCTGCTAAGGCTTGAGAAAATTCTCAATATGCAGTGACCTTTTATCCATGTATTCGTCTTCCATTTTTTTCATCTATATGGTTTGAACTTTGGGTTAAATATTTATATAATTATGTATTTTTGAATTTGCAGCTGCATCCCGTTGTACAACTTTAGCTATATATACACCTATTTGACGGCTTCCCCTAGGAGTTTTGTAGACAGGTAAAATGTGTAATTTAGTAGTTGATTCATGATTTGGAGGACTTGGTAGGAAGAATAGTAGTAGCTTTAATAATAATAAATTGCATTTTTGAATTTGAGAAAAATCTAATTCTTGTATTTCCTTTTTGTTCTAACCAACGGACGTGGATTCAGGATTAAAAAAATCTGTTTATGGTATTGCATAAAAGATCTCAAAGTTTCTACATCAGTAGCGAAATAATAAGTTGATATTTGTCTTCCAGCTTTCTTGATAAAAAAGAACGGCGGTACAACCCAAACATGGCACTATATATACCAATGAGCAAATGGCGGAAGGGATCACAGGTAGGATTTGACTTATATACACTTACAATACAAATAATGTTTGCACTATTTGTGTAAAAATAACATGTTAAGCAGGTTTTTTCCACTTATTTTAGGCAACTTCCTGTAATTATCTGAAAGTATAAAATTTCTTCCATATTCTTTGTGACATAGAAGTTTTGCGACATGTCTACTTCGTTGCTATAGTAGAGCAGATCTTTTCCTTGTTTTTCTAGCGAAGCATGCCGGATTAAATATCTAGGCAGAGTGTGGAGTATTTTAGGACTAAATGTGCTTAGATGCACCTAATTGTTAGGTAGCTAAAGGCACAAGACTATGCATTCATTAGAATCTTGAAATTCGATTATCAAAGAGAATAAAACAATAATCAGCTTTGACATTGTAAACATCTTATAAACTAAAGACAACTAAAGTTAATGCACAAATGAAATGCATTTGTTTTCCTGCTCAATTCTATTGCATGAGCACTGTGATATAAGGACCACTTTTGTTACTGCTCAGCTAAAGGATACTCTTGTTCTTTCTTCTTCTTTTGCTTATCAATCACTATAATAGGCTTCCTACTTCTATAAGTTTTAATTTGACATTTTAGTCCAGTGGATCACGTTAATCAGGAAGCACGCAGAAGTTGTTGCTGATGATGATGTTATCTTTCCTGTTTTCAAGATGTTCTGCAAGGTGTGCATCATGATTCTCTTTTCCTTTCTCAATAAAATTTCAATGCTTGAATTCATCAACTTTAACCTTTAGTTTTCCAGCCATATGTTTTCAAACCTTGTAATATATCATGCAGAAAAGATACAACTGCATTCCAGATGAACACTACGTGCAGACATTATTGGCAGTAAGTAATCAATTATTTACCTAAGGTGCTTTTCTATTTCAGACTTCTTGTATGTTTGTTCATGCTCATAATTGGCAAAATTCCTTCTGTGTTGTTTATGAGAATCATCATGTATTTAATCAGCATTACGTGTACTTGTTTTTTTGTGAATAGATGCATGATAGTGACGGAGAACTGGAACGTAGAACAATAACCTATACAGAGTGGAACCAATCCGCGTCAAATATGGACAAAAATAGTTGGCATCCTATGACATTTAGCTATGCAGATGCAGGGCCTGACAAGATCAAGAGAATAAAGGTATACTTATCAGGCATATATATAATATTTCTCTTCGTCTTCCACTTAAACATTTGGCTACATTCATCTCTTTCATGATTTGAGTTTTATTATGTACGCTGACAGTGTAAAAGAATTTTTACGCTAGCAGATTATCTAAAAGAAGGTAGCCTATTACAGCTGGTTAAAATACTTAAGAGCGTATAACAGTTCTATGTACAATTAGTGTATGTAAGTTAAATGCGTGTGTTATCATATGTGGTAGATCGTAGTTCTTAACTCTTTCTTTCACTTTACTTTTCGTTTGTCTTGGATTTTCTTTCCTCTAGTTAGTTTTGCTTCAAAACATTTGTCCTTCAGAACTGACTGGTTTATGCAACTTGGATCCTACTGACAGGATATTGACAATGTTTACTACGACACTGAGTACAGAACAGAGTGGTGCCATAATAATTCTACACTGGTTCCATGTTTTTTGTTTGCAAGGAAGTTCTCACGAGGAGCTGCAATGCATCTACTGAGTGGAGGAGTAATTTCTCAGTTTGATGCCTCTGCTCTAATGGACCCAACGCCATGATTTTCATCGTTGCTTTTGTTACTAATGCTTCATGTTTACGTCTCTCGTGAAGCAATTTTGCTTTGTAGGTCAAAAGATCTTTACAGCCCTTGAGATCTTAGTGGTCGTTTGGTTGCTAGTTAAGAAGTAAATTATTCATGTATTAAAACTAGCATAACTAGTACCATGCATGCTTGGTAGCATTTTAATTTCTATGTATAAAATGCAGCACACCAAGTACACTGTTTAGTTAATATTTTACAATGTGTCATAACTATCACATGTATAAGTTACGAGAGAATGTATGTATTATTTATGCAAAGTAGAAGATGGAATACTTATACATGAATGATTAAAGTTCGCATAACTGCTTACAACCATCCAAACAAGGTGTAGGGTGCTAGAATTTGAAATTTTGATAAATTTCAAAGATACCCCTTAATTAAGTTAAAAGTTGACTAATTATAGGATAATATTTCACAATCAGGTTAGTTAGAAAAACATACTTTGGCCGACCCTATTGACTACAAAAGCCAGAATGCAAAGATGAATAAATGTTACTCTGTTAAGTGCATATGTAACAGATAATTTGTGGAAAGCTGACTCTTATTTTGGTCAACCCAAAGTATCCCAATAGGATTTGGCTGTGCCAGCATGAGATGCGGTGGGATAGTTAGGAGCCTCGAAAACGAAGAAACTATTCGAGAAAGAGCTTTACTTTTTAATAGGCTTACCAAGCACAAATTTGTAATAGTTGAGTTAACGAAGGTAATCGTAATCATTAAGTTTTTACCTTTTTATGTTTGAATCTTAATTATTAAGTGTATTTTTTTTTCAACTACTTAATTAGTCTGAATAGATCTGAGTTAACAAAGACTTAATATCTAAATATGTTTTTTCAAGCTCAATCACATTGTGTAGAGATGAATGCCTAATATAGTTCTTTAGCACTGTGAGGTTCTCTTTCACTTCTTTGTAATCCTGCAAATGATAGTGTTATCCTTTAATTTGTATGAAGCTAAAAATTCTTTTGTGTACTAGCATCAACAATATAATATTTATCTACTAATAAAAACAATAGTTTTGTAAAGAATTACTATAGAGACATGCGATGAAAACGAGATAATTTTGTGTAAATAAAGTAATATTTATGTTGGTGAGAATAATGACTATAACCGATTTAAATGATCTAAAGGTCGGTAATAATATCAACTATAAATTTTGTTTCTATATGAAATAAATGGTTGACATATATAAAATGGTGGATCTTTTTTTATCAAAATATAAACTTGTGAGTCAATTTTATATTTAAAAAATGTGAAATCATGATACAAAATTCTCAAATCAAACCTTTTGGATTTATCTCACTATTTCAAATCACGAGATGAACTCGCATGTTCAAACACTCATTTTATCTCATTATTTCAAATAACAAGATAAAATCACATGTCCAAACACCTATTCAATATATATTTTAATATTGAGATGTCTTTATCTTAATTTTAAAAAATTAAGACCTTACTGACCATTGAATATTGAATAGTCAAACTAAAAAAGAGGAAGGACCAAAAAAGGAATTGATTGCGTGCTTCATATTGATAGATCTTAACTTCTTCATTCTTCTTTTCTTTTGCTTTTTTTTTATTTTAAAAAAAGTCAATAATCATATGTTTCTTGTCTTAATTAAATTCTTTTAATACTTCCTTCATTTCAAAATAAGTGAATTATTGAGGTAATACATATCCATTAAAAAAAGTTTAGGATATAAATTAAACACCACTTTCCACTTTTGTCCTTTTAGTTATTCTCAAACGAATCTTGAAAATATAAATAGTTCAAAGTAAAATCATAAATATAAGCAATTAATTCTCTTGAAATTATTACCTAGAAAATATAAATGAGAGGCAAAAATGAAAAAAATTTCCAAAAACTATCTTGAACTTTGAACAATTTACTTATTTTAAACTATGAAAAAAGGCTCAACAATTCACTTATTTTGAAATGAGGGAGTATTAACAAGAAAACTTGGTTGGCAACTTGGACGCCTATTAATAAAAGGGAAAAGATTCAAATATGTCATTGAACTTGGAGAAAAAAACTCATGCATGCCATATGTTAAATGTTTGGCTCATCTATGCCATTTTTCGTTTGAGAAAAGGTCATCCATGTCATTATTTGTAAAATGAAAATAGTTTCGATTTTGCAAAATTATTTTTTACACGAGATCAAATATGATTGTGGGCCATGCCATTAATTAAATTATTTTTCTTAAAGAAACAAGGTTCAAAATGTCACCGAACTTTGAAAAAAGGCTCATCTATGTCATAAGTTGAAAATTTGGCTCATATATATGGCATTTTAATTAACAAATAATGATATGAATGAGCCTTTTTTCAAATGATAATGATATAAATGAGCCAAATTTTTAACGAATGATATAAATGAGCCTTTTCTCAAAGTTCGATGTCATATTTAAGCATTTTCCCTTGATAAAAGATCACATGCAGGAAAAAGGAAAACACAGAGAAAAGAGAGAGGAACCATCTTGTTGAAATTTGAGTGACATGTCTTATATGTGATATTTAGGGCCTAATTTTTTTTAATCAAATTGAGTCACAGTTATATTGTAACCCTAAGAAAAGATACATCTAAAGAGGAAGGACTAGATCTTACTCTCTATTACAATTGAGAATTGAATAAGAAGTAACTACAAAACTAGTTACTACTTGCAAAAACAAAAATGATCACAAAACAAGGTGGCAATAAATGTGAAATAGACCTAAGGGGGATCATGAACTATCAATCTTGATCTTCTTTTTCTTGTGTGAAATCAAGGTATTCACTTAGTTCAAAAATATTAAAAATTCATGCTGGTTGAGAATCAAACTAATTAACTTTTGACTATATTCCTCTCTGCATATATAATTTCCAAAACTAGAATTTTTAATTAGAAAAATAAATTTACGTCTAGTGCCCGATGTTTAGCTACAAAAGTTGATCATTGATTAAACCTCGATAAATAAAATGTGTCAAACCAATTGGAACAAAATGATTAAAATTTTCTTTTTAAAAAATTGGAGGTAAGGGATGGAGAAATTGAGGAGGAATTACAAGATGGAGAATTGAACCTTCATCAACAAGGTGAAAGTTCAGATAGCAAATCAACTGAGTTACTAAAATTTCTCAAACAAAATAAAAAAAGAGAGGAGACATTTGATTTAATTATACACTTTCTTCAAGCCATATATCTAAAGGTGATTTTTCAGTTTAACTAATGACATTTTGACTTGGGAATAAATCACCTTTACTACCTCATGAGCTCAAACAATATCTGTAGATTTAGAAATCAACATAAGAAATTTCCTCTTAACATCGTTAATTGTCACTATAGCCACTTGCCCTACAACAATTTCAAGGTTCATCTCCTTTTTCCTTATTTACATAAACATAATTCAAGTTTTCCAGTAATTCCATTCCTTCTTAGGCCAAACTTTCATGACTTGAATATTGGTGTAACAATATTCACACTGATAGAGACTACCATTAAACCAAATTTCATTCTTCACAAAAAAAATTTCCCTATAAATACCACTTAGTATATTCTCCTTCTATTTTCAAATCAAGCTAGTGATCAAACTTTAAATATTACAAAACTCCTTAATTACTATAATATGAATTCATTCAAGTTCTTGTTTGTTATCTTACTATCAATTTCCATAATAATTGCTCTCTTTCCTTCATTGTCTAGTCAAGAATTACACCTTGAAGGCCTAGATGCATCTTATTCGCGAGGAAAGACCTCTTTTCTTTCCCCAAAACAACGATATGTTGCAACGTGTGATAAATACCCTAGGGTTTGTGCTGCAAAGGGCAGCCGCGGGCCAGATTGTTGCAAAAAACAATGCGTGAACGTCTTCAATGATAGATCCAATTGTGGTAAATGTGGTAACAAGTGCAAGTACTCTGAGATATGCTGCCAAGGGTGGTGTGTGAACATATATGTTAACAAGAAGCATTGTGGCAAGTGCAACAATGTATGCAAAAAAGGAAGTTCATGCTCTTATGGAATGTGCAACTATGCTTAATTAGGTGATTACACTTTCAGTGTATAGAAGTTAAATTCCAATCAATTATACATTTAAGTAAAATGTGTTGGTTTCATGTAAGGGATTCATTACTTGTCGTGTGGGAATTAATTTATGTTAATTAAGAATAATACATTTCATACTTAGAACTTCTATTTAGAAGTATATAGCTAATTTGTTTTGGTGGTCCAAGCATATAATAAAGCAGACCTAACTTTCTTTCTGGGTCGTTCTAAAATTGTAATACCCCAAAAATTTCTAAGCTAAGATCTGAATAATTTTCATATGCGTATAGACCCGTATCGGATAAATTTCTAATGATGCATAGGTGTTAAGATCCAATTTCTAAGTGTGGTAAGATGTAAATTAAGATCTAGAAATTCTCTGGCACAAAGTTGAGTTGGAAGCTTCCTTATCGATTGAGTTTCGCTACAAGATTTTACTTGAGTCAACTTCAAACGATCATATATCTCTTAGAATATGCAGAGTTATGTGTCTCATTAGCTATCAAATTAAAGGGTTTCGAGTCTTCTTTCCAACTCCACCAAGTTTGCATCAATCTAAGTCCAGAGTAAAAAGTTACGACCGTTTTACTACAAATACTCCAATCTGAGAATTCCGTTCCCAATTTCCACGAATTGAAAACTACCGTCCGTGAAACCATTTAAGAGTCGTGGTTCTAGCTCATGGAATTGAATCAGAGGCTTAAAGTTCTCGCATGAATTCCAAGAAACCAATCCATGAGTTGTGTATCATTCTACAGTCCCGTGTATATCACCCGTTTATCATATATATCAGTTGTATATCAAAGTTTATAGATTTAATAAAAACGCTATTTTGAGTTTTCCCCCCTCAATTTTCACTTTTTGGTCGACCCCAACAGCCCCCAAGAGCACTCTTAAACCCTACTAAGTCATGGTAAGTATTCTCCATGAT